GACTTCAGCTGAGGTTGCTGAAATGTTTTTCACTGTTTCCAACAACAGTGGTAGTTCTATGGAGGTCACAAGAATAAAGGAAATGATCAGTAACTTAATTCTCCTTGTCTGCACCTTAGGAAATGCATAGAGAACAGTATGGAGAATAAAATTATGCAGACTGATGTTAGTGTGGAAAGGTTTAAGATGTGTTAACTAAAAGTATATTCATTTGCGTCAGTACCATAGTACTTATGTTTATTCACAACTGATTTAACTTGACGAACATCAAAAACTTGTACATTGGCCGCATGGCCTCGGTCAATGAATATAAGCGAAAGTGAAAGTAAAAGTGAAAGGTTTTCTGAAATTACAAACAAAAGAAGGCATTGAACTCCAAACACCTGCCTGAACAACAACAAAAAAACAAATATTAACTTACCAAACCATTCGCTGTAGCCAAAGAAAGACACAATAACTCTTTTAAAACTCTCTCCAATATAATAAACTGAAAAACATTCGCTAACCCGAGCACATGGTGATTCAAGCTAAAAGTCATGTGACCAGCAATACCTCCCAAGGGAGTCAGGAGTGACAATTTGTCTCACAATTTATCCACTTGTGATTTGTTAAGTGAGCTGGGGCCTGTTTCTTGAAAGTCTCTGTCACTTAACTGGCCTGTAAAGCTGTTCTTTTTTCATTCAAGATGGGGATTGGATTTCAAGAGTTTTGAAAATAATGCAATAAAACTCTCAGCTAAAGAAACAAATTGGACTGACTGGGTGCCAGAACCTGCTTTTCTATCCTTTAAGTTTTGATTTTAAAATGTGGCTTCAGGTCTATTAAGTTACCAGGACTTTTGAGAAACAGCCCCTGACCAGTTATGTACAAAAGTTACAAACTTTAGGGTATTCTTTTTGTTCATGCATGAAGGCACACTGCAGTTCTTCATTTTGATGGCATCATCTGACCATCAGGGTGCGAGCTATTCTAAAAGTACTGTTGCCTGTAGAGGTGACTGACATTTTGACAAACGGAGGGGAAGTCTCTCTTAATTTCTGTGTATGTTTAATACCTTGCAGGTTGACTGTTACTGACTCGGATGGTGATTCAGATTCTACAACAGCAACAGTGACTGTCAATGATGGTAAATTTGACTTCTACACACCAACCCAACCCTGTCACTTAGATCTAAATATAGATGCTCTGCACTTTCATCTCATTTAATTTTAGGTCTGTTAATTTGGTGTTACCAGTAAATCAGGTGATATCCCTTAGTTGGTGTGTGCTCTTTCTTGTTATCACCTTTACTAGTTTCATATGTATTTATAACCATATATTTGTGAGGAGATAGTCATTTTTGATCACTCCAGGTAATGAAAAAGGTAAATGTATTTAATCTGAAGTTTCAGTGCCATGCAAGATTCAAGAATTGTGTTATCTCATAAGAGAGTAAATTATTTTTACATGTAGAACATGCAGTTATTTGAGAGCACTGTATATGAGTCATATTAATGGCATAGGTAAGCCCACTGATGGAGCTTGAGTCCATTCGACCAGTAATCATCATGATGTGTTTGTTTCCCTTTACTTCAGAGAAAGATTACCCACCTGTGGCACGTGCAGGAAATGATGTTGTGATTGTACTCCCTGTGGACCATGTGACACTTTATGCTAATGGCAGCACAGATGACAAGGTACTAATAATTATTAGAACTTCTAATAATTATTAGTAAGATAAAGATAAATTTAGTTAATTATGCAACTGAACAAAATAATACAGGATGCTCACATTCAATTTCTCCAGCAGAGGCATGATCCTGTCCACTTGGCCAGCACCATAAAACAACTGGCCCTGGTCAAAACCAATTTTTTTTTTTATTTTTTTTTTTTTTATTTTTTATAGCTGATTAGGACAGTGGGGTAGTAATGCAAATAATGTAGAAAATCACACCAGGTATATGTCAGTGGTACTTTGCTTTACATGCTAAAAAGGGACATTTTGAGGAGAACCCCCAAACCAGTTGTTTTTATTTTATTATTTTAGTCCCTGTTTTAACTCTTTCCTCAGGGGATTGTCAGTTATGAATGGAGCAAAACGCCCTCCAGTCCAGCTGTGGGTGACATGCAGGTAAAAATTTAACAAATGGTAAACACCATAGCGTACACTATTGAGTTATGGATGCACGCGGGAGGTTGCTAAGCACGAAAGAAGCGTAAGAGTCGCTCGAGGCGATAGCCGAGATCGACTCTAGCTTCTTGAGTGCTTAGCAAACCTCCCAAGTTTGTTTTGTAACATAACATAGATACATTGTAGCTAAATAGTTCCCTTTTATTTAACAAATCTTACGTGACCATGCAGAAAAAACAATCGCGCGTGGAAAAATAGTCTTCGCATTTGCTCAGGTCGGCAGCGTACACCCATGGGCAAATGGGGGACGCTAAATTGACCAATCAGAGCGCGAGCTTTACTATGGTTATGTTATAAATCAATATGTATAGTGTTAGTAGTAGTACATTACTTGTGTATGCTGCTCTACTCTGCTGTTCAAATGAGAAATTTTGCATAACTATTTACTTACTTGTACCCTATGATCTTATAAAATAATGAGAAGATGAAAATTCATTGAGGCTTAGTTATCAGCTACTGTTTGGGAAATTACGTATACCTACGCTCATTTCTGAGTAGGATTGATGACTAAACCTGAGAAATAAATATTGCCTTAACCCTTTCACTTCCAAGATCACATTGAAAATTCTCCTTACTGTCTGTCATACAGTTCTTGTGATGTAAATTTGGAGAATTTGGTATTGGATCAGCTAATAATTACCTAATTGATATTTTCTTTTTTTCACGTCACTTGTCTGATTGATTTTTTGTTAATATTGTGAGGAGAATTTCTCTCTTGGTCACTCATGAGAGTTAAAAGGTAAAACAGAAAAAACAATGATAGCAAGATAGGAAAAAAGAACGAAATCAGCGCACATTCAAAACTGATTTGGTCTGGTAGATTCATGGAAATTGCAATTTACATTTGTACTAGTCCTTTGTAGTGAGATACGGATGCGGTAAATCTTACTGCACCAAGGTCTAGATCGTATGTAGGATCTGTCATAAACACATTACATTTCTGGATTCTTGTACCCAATTGCGATGTATTCAGCCTTTTCAAAATCGTGGTAATCTGTGCAAAGATTCTCAGATGCTTTCACGTGATTGCAGTGATTGTGTACATTCGATACGTGAATCTTTTCTCTCCAGGGCACGAGTTCTCAAACTCTGAAGGTGTCCAACATGGTTGTGGGTGACTACACTTTTGTGTTGAAAGTGACTGATACAGGAGGACAGACAGCCAGCTCGAGCGTGACAGTTGTGGTTCAGCCTGAGAAGAATGCCCCACCTGTGGCATTTGCTGGCTCAGATAAGGTAAGTTAGTTTCACTGTCTATATGACTATACTTAGATGAAATTTTTTAACTTTCAATCCAAAGCCAGCAGTATTTTTTTAAGCCATTTCAAGTTCTGAAGAATGTCAATTCCAAAATGAGGCACATGTAGGTGCAAAAACCATCATGAAAATGTGTTCTGTATGTTCGCGCCAAAACTCGTGCACGTGACATTGTTGTGAGGCATGCGGTTTCGTTTTTGTTTTGTTTGTTTTACTCTCGCCATTCGGTCTAGAGTTTGTCGTGTAGTTCGTTGCGTAAATAAATCATGCTAAAATGGAACGTATTCGTCGTCCTGAATCTTCGTTAAATCGCCGGAACACTGTAATAGTGCGGCGACAAGTTATTTGCGAAGACTTGGCATAATATAAGTTTAGTATTTAAACAAGTGTTAATCTTTCAGGATCTGGTGTTTCCTGACGACTCCACAGTTCTTGATGCCTCAGCCAGTCGTGATGATCAAAAAATTGTCAGCTACCATTGGGAGCAATCAAGGTGAGTTGGTTGATACAAGTCTTAGTCTTCACGCTTCCGGATTTGCGTAGTTGGAGGTTCTATTTTGGAGTAGGGGGAAAATGCTTTTCTCTCACTTCATTCTTGGACCACTCCATCATATCGGTTGGTGTATCTATGGTTTATTGCTCCTTGAAATAGAATTCTGATAACGATACACCTATATAGGTAACTGCGGTTTCTCCTACAACGTATGGTGCAATAAAATGAAATCAAAAGTCATCCTGTTATTGACCTCGTTTTGTTTTCATTTTTCGTTGTGTTATTCAAGTGGGCCGCGTCAAGCTGAAATGTCTGGAGTGAATGACAAAGTTGTGACGGTTAAAAAACTTCTAGAGGGTCACTATGTGTTCAAATTAACAGTGACGGATGACAAAGGACTCGCGGGAACTGATACAGTGGCAGTGAATGTTAAGAAAGGTGACTCTTCAGCTTTATCTGACTTTCATTGTGAAGTACACGCACGTGTCATAGTATATTTTAGCCTCCAACCAGGCCCTCGTTAGAAGCACTGAACGACGCGGGTTTTTCCACCCGAGGGAAGATTTGAGACGAGTCGGGGATCTGGTACTACTCACTACTACCGTAGTCCCATTGTAGACCTCTCGCCGTCTCGCGTTCCCAAAGAAGCTTTTGATTGTTAGACAAATACTCTTTCTAATTCTAATTCAAATTCTAATTAAGAAATTTATAGAAAACAGTACAGAGTTTTCGTATACGTTGTTAGGGTGTAAAAGATTCAATTTTGCTACTTTATTAGATTTAAACTCTGGCAGGGAGTGGCCTTAAGGGCGAAAAGCTTTGCGGATATTCTGTCTCTCATAACACCATGTTGCCTTTTTTTTTTTTTTTTCAGATATAAATAAGCCTCCTATAGCCAATGCTGGTCCAGATGTCACGGTGCATCTTCCAAACCGAGCGGCTGAGCTGGACGGTTCTAGCTCCTTTGATGATCACGGAATTGTTGTGTACGGGTGGTCACGAGATCCCAAGAGTCCCGCAGCTGGTGTAAGTGTTAACTCGGCCTGCATAAAAGTCCTGCATGTGGTATTTGAGACCTGCATATTATTTAGTTAGGAAATGATAGCCGTAACGCGGACCGGTTTCTTTCAAATTTCCCAACTTTCCTTTTTTTTTTTTTGAAGATCTTTTTTTTATTCATCAGTTTGTGTTTTCAGCCAACTGCGTAAAAGCAGTTTGCAACTTCATGGTAAAATTTGCAGAAAGTGTCCATCGATTGTTGAAGTCTCTCGAGAGGAAGCCAAGGTTTTTCAGTTAACACATGCTAGGTTTTTGAGATATAAAGTCTTGAAACTCCCACTGCTAAATGTTTAAGTAGTTTTTATAGCGAACTGTGTTATTGCCGCTGTCGTTCTTTCCAATTCCAACAAACGCTGGAGAATGCAAAGGACGAGAACAATATGGCTGGGCTTCCTTCCTAAGGAAAGGAAAAGCGCTGCGTTTGCGCAACCCGTGTCTTCCTCCCCGTATTACGTGTTGGTTTCCTTGGTGGAAACGTGGCTAGAAAAAAGGTTTTAATTCCCTTTTTATTTTGTTTGATTACAGGACGTTATTAACAACAGTGATCATCAGGCTGTGCTGCGGCTGTCAAACCTTGTAGAGGGAATGTACAAGTTCAGGCTCACTGTGGCGGATGGGAAGGGGCTCAAAGGGAGCGATGACGTCATACTTACTGTGAAAGAAGGTGTGTTGTCCAATCAATTAGTGAATGCTTGTTGAAGGAGAATTTGTTTAACAATCAAGAGCTCCGTTCGTGGATCATCTTTATTCTCTTGACCTTAATGTTTGATTCAAGGTTGATATTGTAAGGAGAAATTAGATGTTAGTCGCTCTAAGGGCTCGAAGAGTTAACAGTGAAGAGGTGTGCCTGCTTAAACTGGGATAGAGAGGCTGGCTTTTGTAGTGCAAACTGCTCACACTTTCGCCTAAGTTTGAGATTCTGATTATGCGAATTGCAGATCAAAACAGTGCTCATCTTGTGGAGTTGTACCTGGACGTCGATATCACAAAATTCACGGAAGAAAATAAGGTACAGGTTACTGCACAGTATTATTACCATTATTTATTTATTTATTTATT